AGGGAAAAGGAGGGAGAAAGAGAAGGAAAGAAACATTGATGTGCAAGTGCCTCTCATGCACCCCCTTCTGGGAACCTGGCCAGCAACCCAGGCATGTGCCCTGACTGGGAATCGAACTGGCGACTCTTTGGTTCACAGGCCGCACTCAATCCACTGAGCCACATGGGCCAGGGAGTTATCTTCTAACTGGACCTCTTGAAAGCATGTCACATTGTTGCCTACACCCTCCTTAGACATGCCTCGCCCTGGGTTCTGTGCTGCCTCTGCTCTGCCTGCCTTTACAGCTGCTCGTTCACTGTCTCCTTGGCCAGTTTAGCCTCTGCTTGGAGCTCTCGTCCTCCCCACCTAAGGACTGACTGGACTTCTTTTCTTGCAAGTCTCAACGGTCCAAAGTCAAACCCAACGTGTTCAAACTGAACTCATATCCTTCTTTTCTCCCTCCCCCCAAACTTAGCTTTAATGCCAAAAATCTGATCTTTTTCTTTAAAGATTTTATTTATTTATTTATTTTTAGAGAGGAAGGGAAGGAGAGAAGGAGAGAAATATCAATGTATGGTTGCCTCTTGTGAGTTCCCTGCTGGGAACTGGCCTGCAACCCAGGCATGTGCCCTGACTGGGAATCGAACTGCGATCCTGTGGTTCCCAGGCCCGCACTCAGTCCACTGAGCTACACCAGTCAGGGCCTGATTCTTTTATATAACTCTTCCCATCACCACCCACAACCAATCCTTGCTCAAGCCTTGTTGACTTCATTTTTAAAAATATATTTTATTGACTATGCCATTACAGTTGTCCCATTCCCCTCCATTCCCCTCCACCCTGCACACCCCTCCTCCTCTCCCCCCCCTTTAGTTCATGTCCATGTGTCACAAGTTTTTTAGCTTCTACATTTCCCATACTATTCTTGCCCTCCCCCTATTTTCTACTTACCTTCTATGCTACTAATTTTCTGTACCTTCTCCCCCTTCTCCTCCTCCCACTCCCCTGTTGCTAACCCTCCATGTGAGCTTCATTTCTATGGTTCTGCTCCTGATCTAGCTGTCCTTTTAGTTTGCTTTTGTTTTAGGTGTGGTTGTTAGTAACTGTGAGTTTGCTGTCCTTTCACTGTTCATCTTTTTTATCTTCTTTTTCTTAGATAAATCCCTTTAATATTTCATATCATAAAGGGCTTGGTGATGATGAACTCCTTGAACTTGACATTATCTGAGAAGCACTTTATCTGCCCTTCCATTCTAAATGAAAGCTTTGCTGGGTAGAGCAATCTTGGATGTAGGTCTTTGGATTTCATGACTTGGAATACCTCTTTCCAGCCCCTTCTTGCCTGTAAGGTCTTTTGAGAAATCAGCTGACAGTCTGATGGGAACTCCTTTGTAGGTGACTGTCCCCTTATCTCTTGCTGCTTCCAGGATTCTCTCCTTCATTTTAATCTTGGCTAATATAATTATAATGTGCCTTGGTGTGTTCCTCCTTGGGTCCAACTTCTTTGGAACTCTCTGAGCTTCTTGGACTTCCTAGATGTCTATTTCCTTTGCCAGATTGGGGAATTTCTCTTTTATTATTTGTTCAGATAAGTTTTCTACTTGTAGCTCTTCCTCTTCCCCTTCTGGTACCCCTATAATTCAGATGTCGGAATGTTTAAAGATGTTCTGGACATGAGGGAAGGTTCCTGAGCCTCTCCTCATTTTTTTTTTAATTCTTTTTTTTTTTAATATTTTCTTTCTTTCTTTTTTGAGAGAGGGGAAGGGAAGGAGAAAGAGAAGGACAGAAACATCAATGTGTGGTTGCCTCTCATATGTCCCCTGCCGGGAACTGGCCCGCAACCCAGGCATGTGCCCTGACTGGGAATCAAACCGCCATACTCTGGTTCGCAGGCCCTCGCTCAATCCACTGAGCCACACCAGCCAGGGCTTTTTTTGAATTCTTGTTTCTTCATTGTTTTCTGTTTGGTCATTTCTTTCTTCCTTCTGGTCCACTCAATTGCCTTTAGTCCCAGTTTTGTTTCCATCACTATTGGTTCCTTGTGCATTTTGCTTCATTTCACTTAGTGTAGCCTTCATTTTTCCATCTAATTTGTGACTAAAATCAACCAGTTCTGTGAGCATCCTGATCACCAGTGTTTTGAACTGTACATCCAATAGGTTGGCTATCTCTTGCTCATTTAGAAGTACTGGCTCTGGGTGCTAGAAGGGGAAGAGGAACAGCGATGAGTGGAAAACTTATTTGAACAAATAATAAAAAAGAATTTCCCCAATCTGGCAAAGGAAATAGACATCCAGGAAATCCAGCAAGCTCAGAGAGTCCCAAAGAAGGTGGACCCAAGAAGGAACACACCAAGGCACATCATAATTATATTAGCCAAGATTAAAATGAAGGAGAGAATTCTAGAAGCAGCAAGAGATAAGGGGACAGTCACCTACAAAGGAGTTCCCATCAGACTGTCAGCTGATTTCTCAAAAGAGCCTTACAGGCAAGAAGGGGCTGGAAAGAGGTATTCCAAGTCATGAAATCCAAAGACCTACATCCAAGATTGCTCTACCCAGCAAAGCTTTCATTTAGAATAGAAGGGCAGATAAAGTGCTTCTCAGATAAGGTCAAGTTCAAGGAGTTCATCATCACCAAGCCCTTATTATATGAGATGTTAGAGACTTATCTAAGAAAAAGAAGATAAAAAAAGATGAACAGTGAAAGGATAGCAAACTCAGTTACTAACAACCACACCTAAAACAAAAGCAAACTAAGAGGACAGCTAGATCAGGAGCAGAACCATAGAAATGAAGCTCACATGGAGGGTTAGCAACAGGGGAGTGGGAGGAGGAGAAGGGGGGGAGAAGGTATAGAAAATAAGTGGCATGGATAGTAGGTGGAAAATAGATAGGGGGAGGGCAAGAATAGTAGGGGAGATATAGAATCTAAAGAACTTGAAACACGTGGTCATAAACTAAAGGGGGGAACAGTGGGGGAGGAGGTGTGCAGGGTGGAGGGGAATGAAGGGGGGAATAGAACAACTGTAATGGCATAATCAATAAAATATATTTAAAAAAAAAAGAAGTATTGGCTCTGGGACTTTGAGCTGTTCTTCTGCTTGAGCCATAATGTTTTGGTCAGGTCATGCCTGTTTACTTACGAGGGGCAGAGGTTTAGGTATTCACCAGGGTGGGGGAACCCATGATGCTGGGTTGTGATGCTATATGTGGGGGCAGGGTCAGAGAGGGAGCAATGGCGTTTGTTCTGCTCTTTTTCTGATTTTGGTCCCCTCTGCTGCTTCCCACAAGCAAATTGGGCTGTTCTGGTGCTGGTTCCTGGGTAGGTGGGCTTGTATACATTCTAGGACCCTGTGGGTCTCTTCAACGAATTCTCCCATGAGGCTGAGAGCCTCTCCCAGCACCTCAACACCTGAAAGTTTCTCTAATCAGTGCTTTTAGGCTTTAATTCCTGTTGCTGAGGCCCTGGGTTGCTCGGTCTGTCTCACTGCTCGTTCCTCAGCCAGACCTTTATTGGTCTGGATGAATGGTTCGTTGTTGTTGGACTTCAGTACAGTTCAGTTTTCTGTCTATTTTGGTTGTGTTTTTATTTCTAAATCTTTGTTGTTCTTAAACTTGGTTGTGCAAGGAGGTACAGTATTTCTACCTACGCCTCCATCTTGTCCAGAAGTCCAATTTGATTTTCTAAATAAAGCCCATTCACTGCCATCAGCCACTCAAACCACTACCATCTCTCCTATAGAACTAGTACAACAGTCCCCAAACTGGTCTTCCTGTCTCCACTCCAATCCCCCTAAAAATCTTTTCTGTACACAGTAGTCAAAGGGATATTTCTACCAATGGGGTCATGTCAATTGCTCAGAAGTCCACAACTTCCTTTTTTTTTTTTTTAAGATTTCATTTATTTATTTTTAGAGAGAGGGGAAAGGAAGGAGAAAGGGAGAGAAACATCAATGTATGGTTGCCTCCCACGCGCCCCCTACTGGGGACTTGGCCTGAAACGGAGGCACGTGCCCTGGACTGGGAATCCAATCGGTCAACCTTTGGTTTGCAGGCCCGAGCTCAATCCAGTGAGCTACACCAGCCAGGGTCCACAACTTCCCTTTTTTTTAAAAAAAAAAAAAGATATTTATTTATTTATTTATCTTTAGAGGGGAAGGAGAGAGGGAGAGAAACATCAATGTATGGTTGCCTCTAGTGTGTCTCCTGCTGGGAACTGGCCTGCAGGGAACTGGCTTGCAACCCAGACGTGTGCCCTGACTGGGAATTGAACCGCGATCCTCTGGTTCGCAGGCCTGTGCTCAATCCACTGAGCTACACCAGCCAGGGCTACCTTCCTTTTATCTTCAAATAGTCCAACTCCTGCCTGGGACCCACAAGGTCAGAGCCTACCCTTGACCCCCTTCATCTCACTCCCCTTCCATGTCTGTTCCAGCCACAGTGGCCTTCTGTAACACGCATGCTTCTAGAATGGGCACACTCCCTTTTCTCAGGCCTCCTGCACTGGCTGTCCCCTCCGCCTGGCTTGGCCTTTCCTTCCCTGTTGCCATTGTACACCGCACTTCCATGCCATATCCATAAACTTCTCCTAGCATTTGGCAACACTTGAAAGACGTATGGAAATATTGTCTTCCCCAATTAAAACGTCACCTTTTTGAGGTCCTGTCTTGCTTGTCATTTCACTCCTAAAAGGCCAGACAAGTTACTCAATGAATACTTATTGAATGAATGAATAATTCACCCTCTGCCCCCATCGTGTTCATAGAGATCCCTAACCTGGCGCTTTGGCAGTCTCACCCGAAAGGCATCCTGGGGAATGCACATAGAGACGGGCTGGGCGCGATCACCTAAGGAAGTCTGTAACCTTCGCCCAGGTGGAAGAGCGCGCCTGCGCGCACGGCACGCGCGCGCCTCGGCCCAGTCCCACTTCGGCCCGCGGCGGGGCGCTGGGCGAATGCTCCTGGGCAGGGCGATCCTCCAGGCTGGCTGCTGGCCGCTCTAGCCGCCCTTCTTCTCGCCTGCTCCGTTGGGAGACGGGAGCGCCTACAGGGTCCCTCCAAGATGGCGGCGCAGAGGAGGAGCCTGCTGCAGAGTGTGAGGAACCGGTCCCGTCTCCGGCCGGGGGCTGGGAGCCTAGGGGTGGGATGGGGGGCTGTCTGGTGCAGGTGCGGCTCCCTCTTCGCCTTGGGCTGCCTGCCTCTCCCTGGCAGGGTGCGACCGCCGCCCTCCCCTGCCCCGGGCCGGCTCCCCGCCCATTCCCTGGGACCGGGGCGCCTGCGCGCTGCCGGCCGGGCCGTCAGGGGCTCGGGTTCCAGGTCCGGACTACCCGAGCGTCCGGGGCACGTCGCGGGTGAGAGAGTGCTGGAGCCGGAAGGGCGTGAGGCGCGGGCAGCGAAGAGCGCCGGGGTGGTGAGCCCGACGCGGGGTAATGATGATCACAGCAGCATTTGTGCGCCGCTTACTCCATCCCAGGCTTTGTGCCGATTGCCTTTTCATTTGTAACTTTAATTTTCCTAACAGCCCCATGAGATGGGTACTGGGGTTACTCTTATTTTAGACACGAGGAAGCTGAGGCATTTGCCCAAGACCGCACAGCCGGTGAGTGACAGAGGCAGAGTTAAGAGCAGGCAGTTTTCTCTTTGCTCTTAACCTCTGACCTCCACCGAGGAACGACTTGCTTCCTGGGTTCCGGCCCTGGCTGTCACTCACTGTGCCTCACTGTGCCTCAGTTTCCCTGTCTCTAAGGTGGGAGCAGGCAGTGGGAGCACTGTCTTGAGATGCATCCCTACCCTCAGTCTGGACCCGCATTGGTTTGTCCCGGCGTCCTCCAGCCCCTACATGCTCGGGATACTTGTGCATGTAGAAGCACACACGTGTCGGCACCCGCCAGGTCAGGGTGCTGGTCCCTCGGGTCCTCCGCAGACATACATGGCAGTCTGTTGTAATTGCCTGTGGACTTGCCTGCCTCCGGTTCTGGAAAGTGAACTCTTTGAAGACAGAGGCTTGTCATTTTCAATGAACAGTGTCACCAGCACCTGCCACCACTAGGTGCCAGGCATTCAACAAATATTTGTAAAATAATGAGTAAAGCATTTGTAGCCAGGTCCAGTGCTCATCCCTCCAGTGTCTCAAAGCATCAGAATTGGGGTGCAGGGGTTGAGTTTCACTGCTGCATGTTAATGGCAGGCTTTGTGTAGACTCCGAAATCACTCTTCCAGGACAACTGCTCCCAGTTTGGTGGGGGAGCATGTAAGATCTCTTCCTCTCCACACTTTTGGCCACCCCCTCTTTTTTTTTTTTTTTTTTATTATTACACTGCTTGGCATTGAGTTAGGCGGACCTGGCCCTCTACTTGGTAAGCTCCCAGAGGTCAGGCCCCTGCATAAAAGTCCCCATTCTAATAAACATTCCAGACACACTAGCTGGATAGCAGCAAATGCAGAAAGTGATAACCATGGCAGGCTGACTTGGCTTGCGGAGGAGGCTGGCTGCCATCTTCCCTCCTGTCTAGGCGTGCTGAAGCCCAGGGGCCTCGGGTTAGACAGCAGGCGAGCTTTACCGGCTCCAGAATGTGTTCCTGAGTAGTGGCACATTCTTTGACAAATAGGATAGTTAGCTATAAGCACATAGCAGCAAATGAAAGGCAGAGGGCTGCCAGGCACATCTGCAGCAGGCCCCTTCCACCCTAGTGATGATGGGGGCATTTCTGCTCACAGGGTGGTGAGTGGGGCTCTCTGTCCCGAGTCTGGTGAGAGCAGCTCCAACAACATCGTTCCTCAGTGACTGTGAGGGCTGCTAGCTCGGGCCTGGAAATACGAGGCTGAATGAGGCATTTGGTGCCCTCGCTACATTTGCAGACCAGCTGAGGAGAAGCAGCCACATAGCACTTACACAGGGCATAAGGCTCCCTGGTGCCAGTGTGTGGAGGGAGCTGTGGGCTGGCTGGACCGGCCAGTGGAGGCTGGCAGGAAGGGCTGGTGAATCCGAGGATGGTGCTGGAGGGGTGCGCTGGGGCCAGGTGACAGAGCACAGAGTAGGATGACATCCCAACGACTTCCCTTTCGTCCCCAGGCAGTGTGGTACCTTCAAAGGTGTTCTGAAGAAAAGAAGAGCTTTTGAAGGTAGCTGGATGTGTTCAAAAGAACCTGGGCCCTTTCCCACCTGCTAAAACAGAGTATGAATCTTGTATGGCCTTGGGCAACTCACTTAACACTCCTGAGCCTTGGTTTCCCAACCTGAGAGGCTTCCAGAAGTGTCGTTAGTGTTAAGTGAGCGAACACGTTAACATGCGGAGCCTGGCAGGTCACACCGCAGCCGTGAAGTTCCGCCTTTAGTTCTGGGGTTCATTCCCTCCAACGTCACTGAGCACCCACGAAGTGCCAGGCACTGGGTAGGTGCAGGGAACATGGCCTTCATGAAGCTTATGTTCTAGCCTAGGAAAGGAGACAGGAAACAGGGAACAAATACATATTGCGTATGATGTAATAATATCTGTGACGTAACATCAGTTGGTGCTGTGAGGATTAGTCTGGATTCACACATAAAGGATCGTGGAGGGCCACTTTAGACCAAAGTAGAGGAAGACCTCTCAATGAGATGAGCCCTGGGCAGGCAGCTCAGTCAGTCAGAGCATCGTCCCTATACACCAGGGTTGTGGGTTCAATCCCCAGTTACGGCACATGCAAGAAGCAACCAAGGAATGCAATAAGTAAGTGGAAGAACAAAGTGATGTTTCTCTCTCCCTATAAAATCAATAAATTTAAAAAATAAAAAATACTTGATGAAATGTGGTCGGGGATGTGGGAGGGAGTATTCCTTCCTGGGGGAACAGGGATGCAAAGGCCTGCCTGTTTGGGGAGTGACAGGGAGGCCGGCGTGCGTGGAATGGAGTACGCTGGGGGGGCGGGCGTAGCCGAGGCCCAGGCGAGCCTATGAATCTGTGTGTGGACCCCGGATTCGGTTCTAAGTGTGATGCAGAACTCTCATCTGGTTGTGAGTAGGGGTGTGATGTGGTCTGATTTGTGGTTGGAGAAAGCCCTTTGTTGAGAAGCACTTGAATGTCAAGAGCAGAAGCCTGGGACCTGCAAGTGCGACTCGGTTGTCCAGATGGAAGGTTCCAGAAGCTTGGGCAGCGTGATGGCAGCGGAGTGGCGAGGAGGACCAGGCTCTAGCTGTATATTGGAGGAATACCTGAATGGCTTTGTTGGCAGATTGGATGTGGGGGACATGACGGAGGAGGAAGAAGGGTCGAGAAAGACTACAGGGTTTGCATTGCAGCAACAGCAGGGCCCTGCACTGAGGTGGGGAACCCAGGAGCGCACTGCAGGCCGGGAGAGTCAGGAGTTTGGTTTTGCCTGTACTATTTATTTACTAAGTCATTTTAAAAATCAACTTGAAATCAATTTTTTATAACTTAGACATATCCCGAGCAATTATATCTACACAATCACAGATGCTAGCTATGTATTTTTCTAACGTACGTGAAAATAATCATATACCCATTAAAATAAAAACCTCCATTAGGCCGTCAACACCCACCACCCCTTAGCGGGCAGAATGTGGTCCAGCTGCTCCAGCACACAGTGAGTGCGCCCGTCATTATTTCAGAGAGTGCCGGGCCTGTTTGCGATGAAAACATAGGAACCTTTGATGGAGGCCCTGGTGGGAGAGGTGGGAGCTCCAGTGTGGAGCCGGTCCCAGAGGAGTAAGGGAGGAGAAGGGGGTCATTCAGGAAGACGGGGGCGGCAGCAGGCGTTTCAAGCATTTTGGAGGGAGAACTCGGCCCCCACCCCGCTCCCTCTCCCCTGGGGCATTATTCTCCCCCTGAGCTTCCTCTTTCCCTCTAAGGAGCTCGGTGCTTTCAGCACAGAAACACTCGGCCTTTTCATGCTATAATTTGATATTCAAGCTGTGGCCTGAACTCAGAACTGAGCTTTGTCCGCTTCTGCATCCCAGGAGTTCGAGATGAGCCTCTGTGGGCACTGGAATGAACCCTTTTTATGTGACGTGCCCACGTGGGTATGTGTGGAGCCGACGCTTACATATAGGTACGCAGGGTGTTTATAACAGCCTTAATGGGTTGAACACAATTGGAGCACGAAGAAGCTTTTCATTCCAAAATATGAATCTGGGAAACTCCTTCACACGATCGAGTAAAAACTAGGCTTTTTGAAACAGCGTTTTTTACCATACTTCCTGTTAAATTTCTTGTGAGAAATTAATGTGTAAGCCATCAAAGAGTTAAAGTTGTATGTCGTGCACATGTGCACGGCTCTGCGAGGAGGAGGCTGTGTGAGCGGAGGCGCTGGCCCCCTTCTCAGCTTCCCGGCCAGTTCGCGCTCTGGGTGCAGAAGTGCCACTTGCTGCTGGTGCCGCCGGGCCTGGCATTTGGGGCGTGGGAGAAAGTATGCATCAGTGTGCGCTGGGGTGGGAGGTGGGTGGTTTGTGTGAATAGAAAAATCCACGACCTTTCCAAAAATTGTGCAGAAATGTGGAGGAAGGAAGCAAGAGACCGGGAGTCCGGTGCGTTGGAGTGGAGTCAGCCATGGCGTCTCGGTGTGGAAAATCCCCGGGCAGGTGGAGGGAAGTGGGAACCCACAGTCACCACACAGCCCGCCCACCACAGCAGTGTGGGAGTGACAGCGGGGCCACCACTGGAGTCTGGGGGGACCACATAGTGTCCTACTCCCACTCCCACCGGTAGAACCTCCTGTGACTCTGGCCACTCATTACTGAACGTTTGAGGTGCTGGGGACTGTGGTGTGGGCAGGCCCTTCCACCGAAGGAGGGTTCACAAGTGTCTGAGAAGTTGCCTGTATGTCACTGGGTCCAAGATGCCATTAATTGTAAGGACACGTCGTTATTGTACATGCTACTGAGGAAGAAAACACACTGCTGATAACCACAGTAGGCCAGCTTCAGAGACGTTGAAGTGTGGGAAGTACCTGTGTTTGAATCAGTGGAGCAGGGTAGCTAATGGCCAGGCCACAGCACGAGAGTCGCCACAAAGCCAGATGGTGAAGGGGCGCTGAGCGGGGTGGCCCGTGGGGCCACAGGGCTGGGTTTCTCGGAGAAGGGGCCCCGTGGCCTGGGCGGTGTTTTCCCAGAGTCTGGGACACGTACAGTGAGATGGTTTGGTGTGCCCTGGTGTGGGGTTCATCTTTGTGCATTGTGGAGGGTATTTACTTTTCGGCTCTTTTGTACATTCCCTGATGACGTATGCAGAGAAAGGCTTGGTTGGGTCCTAGCTTACGTCCTAACCCCTTTCTGGTTCTCGCTGATCTCTCCTTTTTGTTAACAGAGAGAGCAGGGCTCCAGCTCAGACTCTGCTGCCGGCAGTTGGTTCAACTAGAATGTAATAACCTTATTTTCTTTTAGTTTTTTCATTATCTTCAAGACACAGCAAATAATGCTTGGTTTCCACTCAGGATCCTGAAAAAGTGTACATCCACAATGAAGTCATTTGCATAAAACGAAGTGTGTCTATTTAAAGAAAAACTATGAAGTGGATGGTTTCTCGAGGATGGTGGGTGGATGGTTGAAGTTTGGGAAGTGCGGCCTCTGGCCCTGGCTGGGCGGCCGGACCGCTGTGGGTGGGGAGGATGGGGAGGACAGTGGAGGGCAGTGGAGGGCAGTGGGGGGGGGGGGGCCTGGCCTCGCCGAGGAGAGACATGTATATTTGGCAAAGTCATTTATTTGTGGTGCTGGTACAAAAATAGTCTCAGCTGCTAACTTTGGTTGTGTTGCTGGTGCCAGTGTCACCATGGATACTTTTTAATATGCTCTTTGGGTGTTTTTTCTTATTTCTTCTTTATGTTTAAGCCAGCGAAGTCACATCGGCTAGGAACTTAATGTTTAAAGAGGGCCGACACGAAGTAAGCAGGGCTTTGCTTGGCAGTGTTGGTACGTGTGGGCCATGGGCTTGTTTGGAAGCGCAGGCTTGTCTCCGTGACTGCTCTCGAGGGTCAGCAGCCCCATCGTTTGAGGCCCCAAAATGGTACCCACTCTTCAGGTAGCGCAGACCCTTAGTGCAGGTGTCGCTCCCATGCTGTGTTGGTGCGGACACCTGCCCGAGGCAGGTTAGCTTTGCACCCTCTGTGTCTGGTACAGGTTTTCAGAAATCAGTATAGAAGGCCTCTCCCTGTACCAGCCAGGTAGCTGAGTGAGATTGTTCATCTGTCAGAGGGCGATATTCAAAACTGCGTGAAGGACATTTAATTTTCGACCAAGATGCAAAGGTAATTTACTGGAGAGAGGGTAGTTTTCATCAGACAGTATTGGAACAAGTGGACACCCGTATGCAGGAAAAAAACATTGAATTAAACCTTTTTTATACAGAGATTAACTCAAAATGGATCACAGGTCTAAATGTAAAACTAAAACTTTCAGGAAAAAACAGGAGAAGATCCTGTGACTTGCAGCTGGACAGAGCGCCATCCACCTGACACCAAAGCATGACCCGTGAAAGAAGAAATTGATCACGTGGCTGCATCAGAACTGAAAGCCTCTGCTCTGCGAAAGGCACTGTGGAGCGAATGAAAGGACAAGCTACAGGCTGGGAAGGTATTTGCAAGTCACCCGTCCGACAGGACACGTGTCCACGTATGTAAAGAACTCCCAAAACTCACCAGTTAAGCAAACAGCAGCCCATTTTAAAAATGGACATAAGGCTTAGCTGCTTCACCAAAGAAGACACGAGGATGGCAACTAAGTGTGTGAAAAGATGCTCCACACCACCATCCTCCGTGAAGTGCGAGTCGAAGCCACAGTGAGACACCACACACTCTTACAGGTCTAAATCAAATTGGAAAAAAAGCACCTTGTGGTGGCGAGGATGCGGAGAGCGCCTGCAGCGCTCGCAGTGCTGGTGGGAGCTCGCAGTTGGGCGGGTTCTGGTGAGGGCGAGCCGCAGCCTCACTCCCCCTTCTTCGCCCTAGAGAAACGCCAGGCTGTGTTCACACAGAACCCTGCCCGGCAGTCCTGACAGCAGCTCTCTTCGTGACTGCTGAGAGCTGGAGGCAGCCCGCACGTCGTCCTGCAGCGGGCCTGGACACGGTGGGCTGCACCGGCGGGATGGAACCCTGCTCTGCACCACAGGGCACCGACTGCAGATGCAGGCCATGGTGTGGGGGGCCGCAGAGGCGGAAAGCCAAGGGAAAGAAGCCTGTCTCAAAAGGTCATGTAGCCTGGCTGGTGTAGCTCAGTGGATTGAGCACGGGCCTGTGAACCAAACAATCGCGGTTCGATTCTCAGTCAGGGCACATTCCTGGGTTGCAGGCCAGTTCCCTGCAGGCCAATTCCCAGCGGGGGACGCACAAAAAACAACCATACATTGATGTTTCTCTCCCTCTCTCCTTCCCTTTCCCTCTAAAAAAGATAAATAAATAAAATCTTTAAAAAAAAAAAAAAAAGGTCATGTAGCTAAAGACACAGGGGTTGGTGGTGGTTGCCAGGGGCTGGGGCGAGTGGAGGATGAGGAGTTGGCACTTCGTGGGGGCGGGGTTTCGATCTGAAGCAGTGAGAAGAGTTTGAGGACGGATGGTGGCGACGGCCGCACACCGTGTGCGTCTGTTCAACCCCACGGAAGTGTTCTTCTAAGACGGTGGATTTGACATTATGTGTGTTTCATCCCAACGAAAGCAACAAGAAAGGTCATGTGCTACATGATTCATGTACAACATTCTCACGAGGACAGTGCAGTGACAGAGCCGTGGTTGGTGGTCACCAGATTCCCGGGGAGGGTGTTTGGGGCAAAACTGAGCTGTGTCTGGGATGGTGGGGGCCCATTAAAACGTGTGGCCGTCACACCCCAACCTTCCTTTGCAGCGTATGTTAACTTAGAGGTGAAAGCAAACTCCCACACCCTGCAGAGGTCCGCTCCAGGGTACAAAGCACAGAATCGAAGCTCCCACCGGTGTCCAGCCTTTTGGCGTCTCTGAGCCACACCAGAAGGAGAGGAGAAGTTGTGGACCACACATCAGATACACAAACACTAATGAAAACTGATGAGCAAAAAAAAGATTTTAAGTAAATGTACAGTTTTGTGTGGGGCCGCATTCGTAGCCGTCCTGTTGGATGTCCCTGCATCATTAAAGCAATTAAAATGAAAAGAGAAGAGAAGGCCATAAAGTCACTCCCTGTCGATACGTAAAGAAACAGAAGATGAAATGTGCTGCAAAAGCTAACCATGGGCTTTTTACATGTCTGACTGCAAAAGCCTGTTGAAGTGGCTTTCACATCCTTTTTGGAAGGTTTACTGCTGACTTGTAAGGAGCTGTGCACAGTGCTCATGCTTACTTAACATTCCAGTAGAGCTTTCAATCCCGATTTTACTCTCCTTGCAGCTGGACTTTGATCCTCCCAATCGATCGTTAGCTCCTGTTCCCCACAGTGGTCCTGGGAGCGCCCGGGGGACAGGCTCAGTTCTCTGGTGGGGTCAAGTGGGAAGGCTTTCACCGAGGCAGTAGATCGTGCGTTCAAGTCGTTTCTGGAGCAGAAACGCAGGTGCTCATAGTGCACCCTAAGGAGATCTGGGAAGTGCAGTACCCCTGTCGGGCTGGGGCCTGCACGTGTGCACATGCACATGCGTGTTCAAGCTCTGCCAGAATTACACTGGGCAGCCTGGTTTGAGATCCGTGGGGGAGAAAGGAGTCAGACACAGATGGGCACGCATGAGGGAGACAGGTTACAGGAAGACACAAGAGGGCTGTCAGCGGAGCCTGCAGAGGGACTCTGAAGAATGCCTTCCTGGGACTGGCCCTTCCTGGGGTGGCAGTCCTGAGGGACGTGGAGGGCTGCTGGAGAAGGATGGGAGGGCGTTCTAGGTGGAGGGAGAGAGTGGGGTGTGGGCGGGGCACTGCCAGCATTTCGTACAGGCGAAGAAGGTGTGGCAGGGTGCAGATGGGAGGGGACACACTGGAGCAGGGACCAGGGAGTAGATGCCTCAGTCCCAGGGAGGGTGACTAAGGCTAGCTTGTAGGTCAGTTTCTCAGAGTGGCCTGGCCGGAACTGACTACAATGCTGATACCCTGGGCCCCTCCGGGAGCAGACATTGTGGGGGTGGGGCCTGGAAATCTGTACTTTCATCCAGCGCACAAGGGATGGGAGTGAGAGCCGCTGCAGGAGCCGCCCAGGAGTCTCTCCCAAGAGTTCACTTCGTTGTGTGCGTGTCTCGTTCATGTTTGAGACATCGCTGGCTCCGGCAGTGCACTGCTGAGCCCTGTGTCTGGGTCTGGGTCCTTTGTCAGGGAACAGGTTTGTGGGCTAGCCATAAAAAAATGCCAGCCCTCCACGGTGTCTGTTCACGCAAGCAGCATCATTTTGCAGAAGGAAGTAGAATCCTCTGTGCAGGCTCTGGGCCCGCTGGGTTTTCGTTGGGGAAGAAAAGGAAGGTGCGGTGGGGCCTGCCTGGAGGAGAAGGTGACACTTTCTAATTTCTTAGTGTCCTTCCCAGGAGCAGCAGCCAAGTTGGACAGATGACCTGCCGCTCTGCCACCTCTCTGGGGTGGGCTCGGCCTCCAACCGAACCTACTCTGCTGATGGCAAGGGCACGGAGAGCCACCCGCCGGAGGACAGCTGGCTCAAGTTCAGGTGAGAGTGCTGGGAGTACACTCCTGGGCATCGGAAGTGGGTCTGCCAGCAAGAAAAAGCAGCATTGTAACTGTCTCAGGTGGGGCTTGCCGGGGAGATGAGGCCCATGGGGGGTGGCATCTGCTGCTGTCCCCTCCACACCTAGACCTCAGACCAGCCTAGCAGCTACAGCTTGCTGCAACAGGGAGCATCCCTGAAAACGATGGTCACAGTGGTCCAGATGGGTACCCGAAGCTGCAGCTGCTGTGCTTTTGGTCTCCCCAGTTGCCCCCCCTGCCCCTCTACTCTGGAGCTGGCATTACTCCCCCGTGAGCCTCTGGTCTCAGGCCGCCTCCCGCCTCTCTGTCAGGAGCGAGAACAACTGCTCTCTGTACGGGGTCTTCAACGGCTACGACGGCAACCGGGTGACCAGCTTCGTGGCCCAGCGGCTGTCTGCAGAGCTTCTGCTGGGCCAGCTCAGCGAAGAGCACGCAGAGGCCGACGTGCGCCGTGTGCTGCTGCAGGTACAGTGCTCGGGCCGGCTGCCTGCCCCCGGGTGGGTCCTGTCCCCTGGGAATGTGGAATGTGGCCCTGCAGCTGTGAGGTGTGGGTTAGCCAGGGGTGGTCTGCAGGCCCTGCCCGCTCCTCTGCTGCAGAGGACCCCGCTTTGGGAGCCTCCCTCAGCAGCAGGGGCCGCCCACTCCTGGGGGTCCAGGAGCAGGCAGCCGGCAGCAGTCCTCACCCCCAGCTGGCTGGGCTGGCTCTGAAGGAGATAGTCCTGGGGAGCGAGGAAGTAGGGATGGAGCCTTGGACAGAGGGGTGTAGCGGGGTGCTGGGCAATTCAAGGTGGCCCCTTTCCTTCGGGTGTGGCTCAGGTGCTCAGCCTCTGGGGGCAGCCAGCTCCCTGGGCCTCACCTCCTCACTTCTGGTCTCCTGGTGCTCCCGGGCCAGCCCTGCATTTCTGCTTGCTCCTGTTGGGGCGATTTTCTTCCTGGCATCTCCCTCTGAAAGCACATCTGGAGGCACTTAGTTTGGGTGAGGAGGACGGACTCCTGTTCCTGGAAAGCGGTGCTCCCAGCTGTTCCCCCTCCTCCACACCTGGGGCCGGGCTCCCTCCCAGGCCTCGCGCCCTGTGCCTGTGATTCCCAGCCAGTCCCCCAGGACAGGCAGCAGCATGACCGATGCAGTGAAGACATCAGCTGTCACTGACGCAGACTTACCCTGAGCCCGTCGCCAAGTGCTTGGCCACCCTCAGAACAGCACTTACCTCTTCACAGACGAGGAGGCCAAGGCTGCCAGCTGGCCTCATTTCAGGCCTGTGCTCTCAGCTTCCATGTCCTTTGCCTTTACTTCTCTGGTCGCTCCACAGAGCCACGTGTGAAGCCCCACCACCTGGTGACCTGCCGTTAATACAGTGTGTTGCCATTAGTCCGGGCGTTTCAACATCATTTGGCAGTGGTGTTCCGAACCGGCCGCGGCCCTGAGCCCTGTGCCTGTCCCCTCTGTGCTCTAGGCCTTTGATGTGGTTGAGAGGAGCTTCCTGGAGTCCATCGATGATGCTCTGGCCGAGAAGGCAAGCCTGCAGTCCCAGCTGCCCGAGGTAACCTCCCAGCCTGCTTCCCGGGAGAGGCGTGTCCACACTGGCTCAGCAAGGAACGTGGACCCATCTGCTGTCACTCCCAAGCCATCGACACCCCTGGGCCAGAGCAGCAGGAGTTAGGGGACATTCCTGACTCGGGGACCTGGGGGGTGATGGGTTTAACCTCCAAGGGGCCTCCTGAGCTGCTATGGGCAGCTTTATTCAGGCTCATTATGGGGTGGACAGTGAAGGGTATGAGGCAAGTCCCTTTCGGGTCAGACTTCAACTTAGATCTGTCCACAGCCTTGACACCCACCCACCCACCCACTCGCATTACCCACCAGCATTTTTGGAGCCCACAGAACAAGTACGGGCACCGCTGGCTTTTTGGAAGAGCTTGCCTGGAAGGGTGGCTTCCACCATGGCTGGGCCCCCAATGCCTGCCCTTTAAGGGGGTTGGGTGGTTGGTGAAGTGGTCTCTGGCGGACCAGGCCTGTGCTGACCCCCAGCGGTGACTTGTAGGGTGTCGCCCAGCACCAGTTGCCGCCTCAGTATCAGAAGATCCTTGAAAGACTCAAGGTGCTGGAGAGGGAGATTTCGGGAGGGGCCATGGCTGTCGTGGCCATCCTGCTCAACGGCAAGCTCTACGTCGCCAACGTTGGTGAGCCGCCTGAGTGTCCCAGGGCGGGGAGGGCCGAGAGGGTCAGCTTTGGGGTCGGTGTGTTCTCTGGGCAGGGAGGACCTCCTGCCATCCTGAGCCTGCCGAGGCCGTTGAGTGCATTTCCCTGTTACTCTCCGAGAGTGTCTCGGTGCAGTGGGGGAGCTGGAGTACCAGCTGGGACATGGGTGTCTTTGGCTGTAGTCCCCGTGTCGCATCTAACCGATTGGCTTGTGGCCTTGTGGGAGGTGTGCCCCTGCCTGGGTCACCTCAGTGGCTTCCTCTTCTGAAGAGACTGTTGTCTGGAGAAGACCCACTTGGCGACCCACAGAGGGGCCATAGGGCAAGGCGTCACAGGGACATCGCGTGGGCGAAGAAGAGGCCATCTGGGACACCGAGAGGGCCGCGCCCCCGACTGCCAGTTACTGCAGGAGCCCGGAGACCACACTGATTGTGTCCCTCTTCTCTTCCTCCCTTCCTTATGATTTCATTCGGAAAAAAACTACAAGTGAAAAAAATGGAACGACTAGCCTGATGACCCCTCTCGTGCCTGTCCCCAGTGCCGACAGGCATGTCCTTATGGCTGGTCTCTTTTCACCTGCAGCCTTTGTCGCTGCGAAGCAAACGCCAGGCACCATGGCTGGTGCCTGTAAATACTGCAGTGCGTCTCCCTAGACAGAAGACACCGCATGAAAACCATCATCGTAGTCATCCTGGGGTGGCACTGGGAGAGTTTAGCCTCATTCCTGCTGCCATCGGTGCTCCCTGGCTGGTGGCTCTCCTGGGGGCCGCTTTCGCTGCTTGTTTCAAGGCTTCTCCGTGTGAGACACCTGCCTCAAGTCTCTGTCCCCTCTGAACGTGGCCTTTTCTCCCACGCCTGGTCTTTGCTCAGCTGCTCAAATTCCGCTGCAGGTACGAACCGTGCACTTCTCTGCAAGTCCACGGTGGATGGGCTGCAGGTGACACAGCTGAACATGGACCACACCACGGAGAACGAGGACGAGCTCTTCCGCCTCTCTCAGCTGGGTGAGCCGGGGACAGTGGCGGGGCCCTTGGGGCTCGCCCTCGCTCTCTCCTGGTGGTCGTCCAGAGAGATGTGTGCAGTAGGTGGGCTGTGCCTTGGGCTTGGGACCAGCCTGCCTGGGGGTGAACCGCAGCTCTGCGGCTTACTGGTCGGTGATGTGTGGGATCGACTTGGGTTTTCTGTGCCTCGGTTTCCCCATCTGCATAATGAGGTAGCAGTCACACTTGCCTCGGGCTGTGGTGAGAATGGAAAGGCGAGTGTGTGGAAAGTGCTCCCTGCGGGAGCTGCTGGCACGCTCACTGCTGTTGCTGGGGTCCGAGGCCGAGGAGGCCCTGAGATCTCGGGCACCGCCGCAGCTCTCCCCCTTCCCAGGCAGGAAGGGCTCTCAGTCCGCAGGTGTTCTGATGGGGATGGGGACAGAGGACCCTGGGGAACGTTGGGTTGGCCGCTCTCCAAGGCACCAGATGTGGCTTCATTTCCTTGGGCCCCTGGTGCCTTGTTTCGTGGCTATGTCTGTCCTCTTCTTTATGTCCGTCATTATGAACAAGGTCTGGCTTGTCATGTTCTCCCCTGGTAGGTTTGGACGCAGGAAAGATCAAGCAAGTGGGGATCATCTGTGGGCAGGAGAGCACCAGGCGCATCGGGGATTACAAGGTCAAATACGGCTACACTGACATCGACCTACTCAGGTAGGTGGCTGGCCCAGTGCGCACCCCAACCCCACCTCTGTTAGGCTCTCAGGACAGAAGGTGCAGTTGAGGTAGCTCAGGGCCCAAAGGGACTCTTCTTTCCTCCCTGCCAGAGAGGCTGGTGTGGGGCCAGGAGTCGGGAGCTGACAGAGCGAGGTTACCAAGGGGTCAAAGCCAAGGAGCGGCATCCCGTGCCACAGAGCCTGGCAGGAGAGGCCAGGGTTAGCCCGAGATGCTGGTGTGGACACGGACAGGCCAAGGACCTGTTGACCAGTGCTGTGTATGTCCTGGGCAGAGGCACAAGACAGGCTGCAGGTTCCCCCAGAGCACTGCCCTTCCAGCTGGCGCCGGGCGCTTGTAGCAATGCACAGGCGGTGAGAGCCACTGAGAGCCTGGACTGTGCCGGCCTGCGCACAGCCCTGCACCTGCTGTCTCCTACTCAGGCCTCGCTCAGGCCCTAGAACACAGGTGCCGTTACTGCCCAGAGGTGTTTTCACAGGAGGAAACTGACCGGCCAGCTATTGGCTGAGGCAGGACTTGAACCCTGAATTCTGAGCATGTGTCCTTAAATAGGTGTGTGCGTGCACATCTCCTCATAGCATTTAATGTCACAACCAGAGCCGCGGACGAATCACCGAAGACCCACGGTCAGAGGCTAGACCGTGCCCTGCCTCGGAGGCACGAGTTAGAAATCTGCTCTCACGGGTTAGGCAGTTGAGTTCAGAGCTGTTTGTTTCTAATTTGTGGGGTTTTTCTGCTTTGTTGGAAAGGATGCCTGTGGTTTAAAATAATTCAAACAGTGCCAAGGACGTGCCGAGCAAAGTGTGTTTTCCTCCTACCCCAAGCCAGGGCTCCTCCCCCAGAAGTGGCTGGTGCCTTGTGCCCCAGCCCGAAGTTCCTGTGTGCGTGCACATGAATGCATGTGTGTGTGCATGTGTGTGTGTGTGTGTGTGTGTGTGGTGGGAGTGGGGCCGGGGTGGGCATCCTTTCCAAACACCCAGTAAGTGCTGGCTTCCCCTCGTGGGTGTGTTGCACCTCGCTTTTTCCATCCAGTGTCCATCCCGTTTCTGCACACTGGCGGCTAGCACTGGCAGCATTCCTCGTAACGGCAGCCCGGCGCCTAGGGCGTGGCCATGTCAGCCCTTTCCACCAGCCCCACTGATGGACCCTCAGGGTGTTTCCAGGCTCTGCTCTCCCAGAAACCTCTGGGAGTCCCTGTGTGCACACACACATGCACAAACAGGGCCCTTCATGCGGACCGAGTGTCCGCGGGGTCCCGTCTGCTTGACACTTGCTCTGGAGGAGCCCAGGAGGAGTGGGCTTTACAAAGAGAGCCCCACTCCCTTGCTGTCCCACCCTCCCCCTGCCACTGCCCAGGTTCCCTGGGCAGGAGATGCTGTGTGGGGCCAGGATTGGGCATTTGACCTTTGCCACCCTGACCCCAGCTGCCCTCAGCCTTTCTGGCCCACAGAACTTGATTTTAGTAGCTGCCCTCAGAAGACAGGTCTGTTTTTCTGCTTTTCTCATTCCTCTCTTTTCCTCTTGTCAGATGTGTGTTTTGTATGTCTGAGCAGATTCTGCCCCTCGGTAGTATAGATGTCCCCTGGGGGCCATTCCAAGCACAGCGGTCCCCTCCACTCTCTCTTTCCCCAGCGCCGCCAAGTCCAAGCCAATCATTGCAGAGCCTGAAATCCACGGTGCACAGTCCGTGGACGCGGTGACCGGCTTCCTGGTGCTGATGTCCGAGGGGCTGTACAAGGCCCTGGAGGCAGCCCACGGGCCTGGCCAGGCCAACCAGGTGAGCTGGGCCTGAGCGGAGCATGGCTGGCCAGCTGCAGGGGGGCGCGCTGCCCTGGGGACCTGGCCAGCCCTCCTGCACAGCACCAGGTGCCGAGGGACTTGTGGCTCTGGTTCTGAAATGCCTTTGCCAGGCTTCCCCTGGGTTCAGAGCTGGGGAAGAAAAAGCCCAGAGCTTCATGAACACCCATCCTGCCCAAAACTTTGCTCATTCTGGGCTTGAAGCAGTGTCAGGTCTCTGGGCCCCAAGCAGAGCCTGAAGGGAAGGGGGTGAGACGGACGTGGACCTGCAGAGAAGGTCCTGGCCAAGGAGGAGAGCTCCGAAGTGTTCTTATCTCTGCAATGGGGATGATAACAGCAGGGGATTGTGGTGAGGGCCGGGTGTGACTGGTGCAGGTCCCCCGCCGGTGGGAACTGCAGCTTTCCCTGCTCCTTGGAGTACACACGTCTGGCAGTCGCCACTAACGCAGTCACTTCAAGGATGACTTTGAAGCAAGGCCACCTCCACCTGACCTCGGGTTGCTGGGTTCAGATAAGTTCAGGTTGGGTTTCTCCTCCCATCTGTGAGTCTTGTAGGAAAGTAACTGTTTCTGCTTTGTCCTTTCTGATGAAAACCTGTGAGGGAGTCTTTGGTGCCAGGCTGTTGATAGCGGCATTCAAAGCTCTCCCCCTGTTCTATCTCACTTCTTCCAGCAGCTTGTGGGTGGAGGGGCAGCCGCTCACCATCACACCCAGTTAGGGAACTGGGCGCAGGAGTTCAGGGTCTGGCCTGAGGCTATGGCTGGTCAGCGAGGGGGCTGTGCCTCCTGTGGCCGGCCCCAGGTCCCTTCCTGTTACCTGTGCCTGCCCACTGCCTCCGAGAGACTCTGGCCAGCCAGAGTCAAAAACCCCTAGAGGGTTTTGTGTGTTTGATTTTATCATTACGATTCTTCTCTTTTCTTTGGTCTTCACAATAGAATTACTCAGTGGCTTCTACCGAGTTCTAGAATGCACTGGACAGTGGACTTCTCTGTGGCAGAGACCCTGTCCTTCTGCATCCCCCATTTCCCGATGGAATTGGCTTACACACAGCCTGCAGCAAGTCTGCTCCAGGAAGGAAGGCTTGGTGACGACCACCGTCTGCACAGGGCCGTTCGGCAGTCCCGGGGCTCCCTCACATCCATCATGTTATTTAAGCCTCATAACAGTCCAGTGAGGGGGTCTGGTCCCTTTGTCATTGGTGAGAAAGCCAACAATAAGAGGGGTCACAGGGTCACGCCATTTCTAACAAGAAAGTTCCAGAAGGATTATCCTGAATATCTTGAAAAGTTTGATTGTAGGCATGGCTGGTGGGGACTTCCTTCACCTGCTCAACCAGTGACCCCTCTGTCCTGATTAGGCTCTGGAGTCCCGGCCCACAGTCCCTGGGCCTCTGTGCTTCTTACCAGATGTGCGCCCCCTGCCCCCAGGAGATCGCCGCCATGATCGACACCGAGTTCGCCAAGCAGACTTCCCTGGATGCGGTGGCCCAGGCCGTGGTGGACCGGGTGAAGCGCATCCACAGCGACACCTTTGCCAGTGGTGGGGAGCGGGCCAAGTTCTGCTCGAGGCACGAGGACATGACCCTGCTGGTGAGGAACTTCGGCTACCCGCTGGGCGAGATGAGCCAGCCCACGGTGTCCCCCGCCCCAGGTAGCGTGAGGTGCGGGCAGGGAGCCCCCTCAGGGGGCCGTCGGGGCTGGGCGGGGTGTGGAGTGGCCGAGGCGCTGGGCCGCGCAGCCGGGAACATGGGAGGGGGAGGGAGGCCTGGCTCTGAGCCATCCTGATCCACGTGCTCTGACTTCCGGCCACTCTGACTGCCTGTGTTTGTTTGTCCTTTTTATCTGAGCAATGAGGAAGGACCATCTGCCCTGCTCCCTCCTGGTGACCTGCCTGCAAAGTGCTTGCAGAGGCGCCAGGCCCTGTGATAGGGGTGATGGCCCACACCGACTGCCTGTAGTCCTTATTAACAACCCTCAGGAAGAAAGCACCCCTTTTGCAGAAAGGGAAACTGAGGTTTGGGAAGGAAGAGACTTAAGTGAGGCTAGGCATCCGGACAGAAGGCCCCCGAAGCTGAGCTCTGTCCCTGGGCTGAGTCGGGGCGAGAGCGATGCCCTTGACTTTCCCCTTTTTTTGTTCTGGAATTGAGTTGCTTAGGAGCAAGGTGATTGTTCTTTCTGCACTTCCGACCCACACTGCTTAGTTCCTGGGTCCTCACTTCTTTTTTCTTTTTTCAAATAAGCCTTAAGGCTCAGGCATGCCTGGATGGATTTGTTCTCCCATGGACACCAGGGTTACTGGAGTTTCTCTAGCTTGTTGCTATTGCGACCATGTTTTTGCTGGGCCAGCCTCCACTAGGAGCCTGCGTCTCCCCTCAGGTTAAAGCATCGTCACAGGAGCAGGCAGTAACCCTTCCATCAAGCAGCTCAGCACCGGGTTCTCCTCCTGCTCTGAGCACCAGCGGTGCCATGCAGCCAAGCGCAGGCCCCTGCCGGCCCTGCAGGTTTCTGCTGCGGGACACTCTCTGTCCCGAGGGGTGCAAGGCCAAGCTGCAGCTTGGGGAGCCTGGTTGGGTCACCCCCTCCCCCTCTGAGCCCTCAGACACCGCCCCGCCAGGCCCTGGAGCAGCCCCCTTTGCACCGCCCCAGCCAGTCCCTGTGGCCCACCGCTCTTTTCCCCACAAAGCTGCAGGAGGACGTGTGTACCCCGTGTCCGTGCCTTACTCCAGCGCCCAGAGCACCAGCAAGACCAGCGTGACCCTCTCCCTCGTCATGCCCTCGCAGGGCCAGCTGGTCAACGGGGCCCACAGCGCTTCCACCCTGGATGAAGCCACCCCCACCCTCACCAAGTAAGCCCTCCCGCACCCCTGGCCACTCTCAGGCCTGTCTCCGGGGACAGCCCTTCGTGTCTGAACAGGAATGCAAAGAGGCCAAGTCCTACAGCTGAGCAACCTTGGGCTAGAGGGCCTGTGGCCCCCACTTCTCTAATGCCCCGTCTCCCTTCCTGGGAGGCAGGAACTGGCAGCGCTGCGGGTCCCTGCAGCTTGCTGAAGCGGGGCCTGGGTTGGGGCAGGTTTCCAGGGGCCCAGCGGCTGGGCCACCAGGAGGGAGCAGGGAGGAAGCAGGCAGCTGATGCTGACAGCCTGCCCGTCACATTTCTTTGTGGGTCCTACGCGTGCCCTTTGAATGGGAAGGCTGTCCTCCTGTTCTCTTCTCCCGCCTTGAAGTGTGTGTCGTAGGGGGGCCTCCCCACGGCACCTTTGTGTGGGGGGTGTTGTTTGGCCAGTCCTGGCTCGTCAGAGCTAGTGCTCTCTGACTCAGATGTCTGATTTGGCTTTGAAGTGAGTTCTCCAGTTTAAGGCAGGGGGAGGGGAAGAAGCCGCAGGAGGTCTGGAGCCTGCGGTGGGGTTGGCAGGCCTCTTCCCAGCTGCGGACCTGCCTACAGGTCTGGTGTCCAGCCCACCCCCTTCACATTGGAATGTGTGCCCCCCACCCCGGAGACCAGGATCCGGTTTCCACATTCCAGCCCTGCCCAGAATAATAGAGACGCCACACCCAGCCCACTCAGGGTGCAGCAATGGGAGGGGCCAGCAGGACGGGAGTGGTGTGGGAGTGGTGTTGGGATGGCAGGGTGCTGAGTCCCTCTGCCCGGAGGGGTCCTCCCTGCCCCCATGCTGCTGCCAATGCCTTCACTGAGGGCTGAGGGGCTCGCCACGCGGCTGAGCGAGGCACCCCAAGCACAGTCGGGGTAGCTTCCCTACCCTAGCAGGCTGCCCAGAGGAAGCCACTGGCTGTGTCCACAAAGGCAGAGCATTATAGCCATGGCCCCAGACCAGGCAGGAGAAACAGCCATCTCTCTGCACCTTCAGCTCCCTGGGCCCCTAAACAGCCCCTTTCCCCAGCTTGCATCTGAGCATTAGTCGGGCCCCACTGGGGGCTGACCTGGCGCCAGGCGCCGGGTACCAGGCAGTGCTGGGAGTTCATAGGACAGTGGGCTAGCGAGTGATGCCCAGCTGTGTGGTCTAGGACAGAGAGTGGGGGTCCAGGGAGCTCTGAGACCGTGGGGGACCCATCTTGCCAGCTGGTGCGAGGAATGAGAAGGAGAGAGTAGGGCAGGTTTTCTTGGAGAAGAGCCTCTGCCGGCCTGTGATCAGTGCCATTTGGATCGGGACGAATGGAGAAACTGGCGTGGATGACCTCTAGCTCAGTGCTGCCCAGAGGGTCGAGAGGCATGTACAGTAGCCACTAGCCATGCATGCTTATTGAGCCCCAGAACTGAGGGATCCGTTTTAATTCTGGTTCATTTAAATGGCCACATGCAGCTAGAGCTTAGAAAACACGGACTTTTCATCTGCTCCTAAGAACACGTGGTCAGCTGGCTCTTTGTTAGAGAGACCTTCGGCCTAAGGCAGGGGCCTCTCCGTCCCCCGGCTGGGAGCTGAGGCCCCTGACCGGCCGTCTCCCCTGTCATCCTCACAGCCAGAGCCCGACCCTGACCCTGCAGTCCACCAACACGCACACCCAGAGCAGCAGCTCCAGCTCAGACGGGGGGCTCTTCCGCTCCCGGCCCGCCCACTCACTGCCGCCTGGCGAGGATGGCCGCGTTGAGCCCTACGTGGACTTTGCTGAGTTTTACCGCCTCTGGAGCGTGGACCACGGCGAGCAGAGCGTGATGACGGCACCCTAGCCCTGCCCAGGGAGTGCAGCCCGAGCAGGGTCTTGCCTGAGGACAACGGGGCCAACTCTGGGACAGGGTGGGTTTCATCCTGTCGCATCTGGTGGCATGGGGGCCGGTGGGTGCCCGGTCCTCAGCCCGCAGCCCTGAGCTCTCAGTGTGGAAGAGAACCTCCTCTCGGGAGCGCCGGTGCAGACAGACCCGCCGATGGACCTCCTCACAGCACGGGGAGCAGGGATGCCTCCAGGCAGCCTCAGCCAGGACTGTGCCCGTTTCCCAGAACAAAGGGTGCGAGTGCAGAAGCTGGGCTGGCCTGCAAGCCCACCACATGGGGCAGAGTGTGAGGAGGTTCTCCTGTGACCCCACAGCTTCCCGCACTGCCTCCCCCGGGGGGAGCCTGTGGCCAGTGCTAGTGCCCCTCACCACTAGGTGGGGCTCCCCTTTCTTCTCCAGCCTCCAGAGTGAACCCTAATTGACAGCTGCACTCTGAAGCCTGCACCTGACCCTGGGCCCCTTGCCTAGGCCAGCCTGGTTGTTCTCGGTGGTAAACATTCAGGAAGATCAGGTTGGGGGTCTGGGATGGCTGCAGAGGGGCCAGGTCAGGGATAAAGGAGCTAGAGATAACTGGTCCTAGAGCCCCCCAGAGAGGTGGGCTGGGCTGGTGGGCTTCCCCAGAGATGGGTGTGCAGGAGAGGTGAGGATGTGTCTGACCCTAGTGCGGGGCTGTGGCTGCCCTTGTCGGGCCCCTCTAGGGGGCGGAGGCTCCGGATCGGGGTGAGCAGACTCTGCTGGGCTGTTCCCTCCTGGAGCTGGAGAAGGCCGCAGGCTGGGGAGCCACAAAGATGAGCGATCTGCAACATTAACGACGATCTCTGTGGGCCCCAGAGCAACAAACAGGCCTCAAGTTGGGCCTGGTTCGTGTTGTGTGAGAGGGAACAGTGGGAAATGGCTCTGAAAGGGTGCAGCTTCACTGGTACCTGCTGCACTGTCGTCAGGCTTGGGCTTGAGATGTACACTGCCTTTACCGATGCCGGGGCAGGCTCGGGCAGCTGGGCCCCGAGTGAGACCGTCATGCTGCTCCCTGCCTGTTGTGGGGAGGGGCTGCACCCTGTGCACAGGGGAAGCGAGCCCTGGAGACTCAACGGCAGAGCTCAGGCCTCCTGCCGGTCCAAGGGCCCTGGCTTCTGCCGGCCCCTCCCCCCACTGTCCCCCAGGCACCGCTCACCAGGGACTGGCCACTGTCGGTAGCCTCCTGAGGCCTGGACTCTGAAACATTAAAGGCCCGTTCCAAGGCCCTGCTTGCGTTGTGGCCCCAGAATGCAGTTCCCGAGGGGAGTCTGGCCCCAACGAAGGAGATGCTACGTCTCCAAAAGAGAGCCCTGCCCCTCCACTAGAACACCATCTCTGTTGTTCAGGGGAAGCGATTTAAAGTTGGTCACAAATGCTTGGAAACAAAGGGAGTTCTCTTCCAGGAATGTCTCAGTGATGCTCTCTGGTCCCGAGAAACAGAATCACTTACCACAGCAAAGAAGTAATAAACGGTGGTGTCATGCATCATTGTGACTGTGGTGGCAGTACTCTAGCTCCTGTCTCCTGCAACACAAGTGGCCTGGGGTCTGGGTGGGCTGGATGCCTCCTGTCTTCCAGTTCCCCAGGCTGGGGCTGGCCCCCACGCTGCCGCCTCACAGTCACTCGGGGGCAGTGCTAGGGCGTGACGCCCTCCAGGCCCCCCCGGCACAGTTGCAGAAGGTGGCAGTTCTCCCCTCTGCGGGCCAGGCCCCCTGGGCCCCTCGGCGGTGGAGGGACTGGTGCAGCCCCCACTGTTCCTGACCGCCAGAGGCTGCAGCTGTCACAGCTTCAGGTCACCAGGACAGTAGATGTTAGTGGGTGTTCAAGGGGTTCTTTTGCGTTATTTTGGTTTTGTTTGGGTGGAGGATATTCTATAAATACCATTCCATGAAGTGCCTCTTCCTGCCTTTGGAGACCTAAAAACTCATCCGCTCACAGGAGCAGAGCGTCTGCAGCTAAAACTGAAACCTGCTGTGGCTCAGGAACAAAGCAAACTCGGTGGGCAGTGGGTGGTGGGCTCCCAGGCACGTCCCTGCCCTGGGCCTCCTCAGCCGGGCCCCCGGGGCCTGACCACCCGGAAGGTGTGTGGGCCCAGCACCCTGGGGAAGGTGGCGGGTGTGTCGTGGAGCTGAGCAGAGGCACCGACGGCCCAGTCCCAGCACAGGTGGCCCATCAGGCCTCTCCGGGCCTCTCCCAGCTCTGCTTTGCCCTAAGCGTGTGGGGGCGGGGCACTGCCCAGCTGGCTTTGTGTCCCCTGTCCCCTTGAGCCTGCTTCCTGAGGGTGTGGGGGAGCCAAGGAGTCTTAAGATTTAACAAGGGGCAAGGGCCAGGACAAGAAGAACCGAGGCAGCCAGCCGAGGCCGTGTGGCCGTGGGCCAGTCAGCACCCCTCTCAGAACACAACGTGGGTAGATTGCCAGCTGGAGCCCACCCAGCCTTTGATCCCTTCTTGCTGGTGGGTGCCTGTTTTCCCTGAGGCTGGGTCAGGGAGAACCAGAGGAACCCACCCCCACCTGCCACCTGTGTCCCCTGGCTCCTTGAAGGCACCTGGTTTCCTCCCAGCACAGGACTGGATCACAGCCTGGACTGAGGCCCTGGCCTGGGTCAGACCAGATGGGGCCAGGCCTTTGGGAGCCACTGTGTGTCCTGGGCCAGAGGCAGGTGGGCAGGACGGGGACTTTGGGCAGGGCCAGGAGCTCTGGATGCCTTTGGGCATCTTCACTAGGGTTTGTGTTGGTGCTTCCATCCTCATCCGGGCCTCCGATTCCCACGACTCAGCCCTTGGGCTTAGTAAGCAGTTCCCACCACTGGCTTGTTGGCACTGAGCCCTGTCAGGAGCCACTCAGGCCTGTGACATGGACTTTGTAGGAAAAGGTACTTGATCATGCCCTTTATGTGTTGACTTCCTCCCTATCACTCCGGCCTCAGCACAAATGCCACCTCAGAGAGGACCGCCCTGGTCCCACACCACCCACTCCCGCCCCTCTCCCTGTTTGCTTCCCAGAAACTCACTGCCTGACATTTCTGGCTCATTTGTCTCTGTAACTAAGATGTTCACTCACTCACGAGAGTGAGTTTCTGTCTACCTTAATCCACTGGGTCCTGGCCCCAAGGTCAGGGTCAGCCTGTGGCAGCCTTTCACATGTGTGTTGAATGAATAGGTGAATGGTCACATGATCTGGGACAAGCTATGTGACCACGCTGAGCCTCCATTTCTTCCTCTACAGAAAGAGGACCTGACCCGTGTCTCCATAACATGGCCTGATCTGTCTGAGCCATAGAGGCAAGGTTTGTCCTGTCCCGCAAATGCGGACGTGGTCAGGGACACGTGGCAAGGGTGTGAGCTGAGATTCCTGCCCCTCCACCACTTCCCGAGCCACCACACACGGTGTGCGCTATAACGTCACCAATAGGGAAGGTGGCAGCTGGGGGCTCAAGTGTAGCGGGTGTGCCTGCTGCAGCCCCTGCAGCCCAGACGCTGAGGAGCGGCATTGGGGCTTGCCCCTTCTCCACCGGAGCCCCAAGTGAGGCTCTCAGATGGGCCCCCAAACGTGTCTTCAACAAGGGCATCTTTCATGATTCTTCCACTCCCTCTCAGTTTGAAACCAAACAAGGACACAGATCACTGCCGCTCCCGGCGGGCTGGACATGAGCACCCGCTTTGTTCCCACGCAGAGGTGATGTCAGCCTGGAGCAGAGACAGACAGGCACTTGACATTTCCATGGGCCTGGGTGGCCTCGGCGGCACAGTCTGGCAGTTGGCTTTCAGGAATACTGGCGCCAGCTCCCAAACTCCACCTCGGCCCTGAGAGGGGTCAGAGGACCCCAAGCTGTGCGGACCAGTCGCCTTGTGCAGGCCCTTCCTTGCCTTCTTGTCCCAGGTCCCAGAGTGGGCCCAGGGCGGGACATGGTGGGCCCCTGAGCCCACCCACTGCCTCCAGGCCAGAACCCCCCAGCTGTGTCCACACCCTCCATGATCTGGCCCCCACACTTGTCACTTCATCCTTCAAGACCCAGCTAATGTGACCTCCCTCTCCAGGGACGCCTTCCCCAGCTCAGCCCCTCTCCCAGGCTCTTTGGCCCCTATGTGCACAGGGCGAGGCCGCAGTGGACCTGGGGCTCCTGGTGAGGGACCCAAAGACCTTCGGCGTCCGCGTCCCAATGCCCCGTGCGCAGCAGTGTCTGTGGTGTTGAAGGCCGCTGGCCCCAACTGTTTCGAGGGGAGGACTGGGACCCCACTCAGACCCTGGGCAGGGGGCGGGGACACATTGGGACCTTTGTGGCCTCTTCTTCCACTGAAAGCTGTTAAAAATTACATTTTGACTGCAGTGGTATAAAGACATTTATTATTAAAACTTTTTAAAAACTAAAAGTCAATTTCTTTTTCTGATTTAAAGGAAAATAAACTATTTCCGTGGACCCATAAAAGTACGGTGGGCCTGGGGCTCCACGTCCGCACAGGGACCACCAGGGCCTCAGTGAGCTGCCTCTGGGGGGGCGGCCTGCAGTCGAGGTCCCAGCCCCAGGCTTCCCGAGCTTCCGAGGGCCCTGGCCGTCCTAGACCCAGGAAGAAGATGCGAGGAGGGTTCAAGAGCAGGTGAAAGAACATCCCATCCCGAGGTGCCCCTCCCTCTTGTTCTCTCTCCAGCAGCAAATCAGGGAGAGCACCAGCCTGTTCAGCCCACACTAGGGACTGTGTTAGGGGGGTAAAGAGAAAGGAGGGTCATAAATTAGTCATTAACTCTCCTGCCCTGGAGGGGCTCCCAATCTCCCAGGGAGATAAGCCAGCACCTGGGATTCCAGACAGAATGGGGCCTGAGACCCAGGCGGAGGGGCGGGTTCCCTGATGGGTTCTGGGAAGCTTCCCAGCTTGGCTCTGGGCCCCGGAATATTTCTGAAGGGTAGGGGCATCCTGGGCCTGCCAGGCCAGAGACGGCAGATTAATTAAACCCATGCACCAAATTTCTCCCCCTCTAAAGCCCTATGAAGATTACAGATGGGGATTTCTTTTCTTTATTTTAAGGTGTTGGCCCCCGAGGATGGGCAAGCAGCACATCCGCACCGTTTCTGGAGCTGGAACGTCGGTGCAGAGCGCCGCTGGCCTAGGGACTCGGGAAGGCCACACGCGGAGCGAGGAGGGCTGAGCGCCAGCGTGATGTGCCCACAGAATCGCCAAGGGTTCTGCCCCCAGCTGGCAACCCCAAGCTGGGGCAACGGGTAGGAGCAAAATAAGGATCAGTCAGACCCTCGAATCCCGTCCCAGAACTGCCGGGCACTCACCCTCTCCGACCATGGCAGCGTACTGGTCCTTCTCTGGTGATGGCAACCCAGGGCTCCCCGGCCCGGGGGGAGGGGAGCCACCAAAAACAGAGAGCCGACCCCCTGGGGCTGCGGGTGCCGGAGTCCCTGCTGGGCCCCTGCCCTGCTTCCAGGGGCAGTGGGGCCTTTCCCCTCCCTGAAGCGTCTTCAGGGGAATCGACTCCCAGACACTGAAGCATCTTCCCTGGAGAATCTGGTCTTTCTGACAACAAGGTCCTAAAAATACTGACACTGGGGGGTCCCCAACCAGCAGCCCTCCAGACCTCCCTCAAGTGGTGTTCAGGGGTCTCTCTTCAGGGTCACACCCTGAGGAGCAGGTTGACTCTGTCAGTGTGTGTCTCTGGTTTTCATACATAAGTAAAGTGAATGTTAAGAAGGACAGACAGAACCCACGTGACCTGATGACCCGGCAGTTCTGCTCCCAGGAACTGAAAAGCTGTGTCTGTGTGGAAATTACACGCCAACGTTCCTAGCAGCCCAGAGGCAGAGACGCCCCAAACGCCCACCAGTGGAGGAGAGGGTGTGCTAACGGGGGTCTGCCCGGGCACGGGGACAGCACTCAGCCGAAAAAGGGAGCGCGGTTCTGACACGCGCCCCCAGCGTGGGTGAGCCTCCAGGTCGTGCTGCTGGATGAGAGAGGCCAGGCCCAGAGGGTCACATACTGTATTGTTCCTTTTAAAGAAATGTCGGGCACAGGCCAATCCACAGACACAGAGAGCAGATTAGTGCTTGCCAGGGGCCAGCAGCCGGGAGATGGGGCGTGATTACTGCATGGAGACACGTGTTTTTCTGGGGTGATGAAAAGGTCTGAAACTAGAGAGAGGTGGTGGTTCTCAAACCCTGGGGATGTACTAAAAGCCACTGAGACTTGTACAGTTCAAAATGGCTAACTGTACGTTATGAAGAACTTCACCTCCATTCAAAATAAGCACACACGGTGCTGGCCACGGCTCCTGGGTTTTGGGCGGCCCTGTAGACTCGGAGAACGGCGGGATTAAACCGCCCGGTGAGACCCCCAACTCGAAGATGCTGCGAGCCACAGGCTCCATGTGGGATTCTCCAGGCATTTTAAAAAGTAAAAAGAAACAAGTTGCAGTTAGTGTTCATGCTGTCGTTTCTTCAACTCGACATAGCCAAAATATCATCATTTTAACAGCAGCATGACTAATT